AGTGAGATACAAAAGGTCAATTGTATTATCATTGGAAGGGTTTTCACAAGTACTCATCAAAGAATGTTGTCATTTGAAGTCAGAGAATCAGATTATTCATTTACATGTGTTGCATCATTGTCAATACATATATTGTTTTGAAAAAAAACATTTCTGAGTTTGGAAAGCAACCATATCTCCATCTGCCTTTTGTTTGTTTTATGTTCGTACCATTGTGAACAAGAATAAACCAAAGCGTGATCAGACTTCTTTGGCAACCATGTTGGTGTTGTAATGGAAGGTTGCCAATGCAAGATGGTAGAAAGTTTTCATCCAGCAACACTTCTCTGTAACATACATGAGGATACTTAACATAAGTGGGGTCTGTTTTCACAACTTCAGATTTCAAGAAACCATATTCTGTAAATTTGGCCCAAAAATATCTGCAATAACCGAGGAAAACCTCAATATTTCCTCGATCACATTGAAATGACTGCCATTTGTGTATATGGCACATTTCAAGAGCACACATTTGGAGTTTCTCCATCGTAAAAAATAACAGCAACAGGCTTCAAATGGAAGATAAATAAAGCACCATAAATAGAAATTTAAAAAAAGACTAGTCTAAACAGGAGAAATAAAGTTAATGTTTGCTTGTGGATGCATTTAGTCTGAAAACGGGTTCTATAAATATTTAACAGTTCGCATTTCAATCACTTTTACTTTCACAATTGGATTTGGAATTGAATTGTATTTTCTCATACCAAGAAGAGAATGCAAACAAATCTTAAAAGACTAATTGACAGAGTAAATCGCTGAGACAATTGAGCAGTCAACAAACCGCTTCAGTTTATTAGTTCCACACTGTGGCTCGCTCTTCCTCCGTAGCTTCAGCCTGTACTTCATTAGCCCTCTTCTATTCCCAGAACTCCTGTAGATGTGACTCCTCTTTTCCGGGATGGAGGAATGTTTCTCCCTCAGGTCCGACTGATGAAATGGTTTGAGGCCTGGGCGAGGGTCTGAGCCTGTTTGTTCAGGATGTAAAGGAAGGGAGAAAGAGAGATGGTCGACCCCCCCAAAACTTACTCCCCCCCCAAAAAAAATCCCTGGATCCCAAGGCTGAAAATCACTGCCAGCTGAGCTGACATGCTTATCCATGCTGACATCAGAACTAACAGGGGCCATTGGTGGATAAAAAACCAGACTGAGCAACAGACACCACTCAGTGGTTGTTGCCAAAGTAGTGAAATAGCAATTTAAAGAGTATGGCGTGACTTATAGTTGTAATATAGTTGCTTCATTCTTCACCTCTTAGCATTGGTTCGACATTTCTTGGTGCAAAATGTTCAGTTTTGAGGGACTTCACAGCTTTCATGCTATCTGCACTTGTCAAGTTCTGTTGTTAGCTGTGATGTTCAGCTGACTAGCTAGCAAGGTGCCTTTAAGGTGAGCGTTAGGTCTGGATTGTTTTTATTGTAAGCTTTTTCCCATCGTTTAAACTTCTACCTTTTTTTAAAACTTCCACATACTTTCGATACAACATGTTGATACAAATTTGAACCTAACTTTCTCAGTTTTGTCAGATCGGCGGAGCAGAAGAATACAAATGCCATCTTGAAATGTAACATTTGATACATGTTGATAAAAAAGGTTAATTTCACTTCTGATTTCTGTGCCTGAAGCATAAAGATATTTTGAAACTTTATGCTCTCCTTTAGTCCTAGTACCCCTTCAGAAATCCATTACAACTTAAACCTTAGCTACTTAGCCCACTCCCCTCTTTTCCCGCCTTCATGAGCAGCTGACCTCACTCGGAGGAGATTTCAGTGACCTCAGAGCAAAAAATACTGCAGCACTTATAGACTCACTCTGTTTCTTCTAAACACCAACAGTCATGCACCATCTGGATGCTTGCTTGGCAGACAGTGAAGCAGAAAAAAAACACAAGGACCCGTTGGGGAAAGGAAAAGCAGTGCTAGCTGTAGTTTTATGCTTTGTGTTTTCAGTGTTTTGCAGGTGAGTGGGTGGGAGAGAAAACCTCAAAGGAGCACTGTAGTAGCTATTAAAAGAAGCTTGTAGTTTACTTTGTTTTCATTTGTTTAATGTAAACTCAACCCTTATTCCTACAGTTTATCGTGTCGCCGACTAGAACATACATTTGAAATTGTAACTTATTTGGGTTCATAATGACGTTTAAAAAAAAAGTTACACAATTACTCTCAAAGATATTGTGCAAAGGAAAAAAATAAAACATAAAAATGTGAAACTTGTGAAACTTAAAGTCAGCTGTTAGCCATGCTAGCAGCCCCACGGTGTAGCCTATATAGCAGTGCTTTAACTTAAATGTCAGTGTCAGCTTGCTCACATGCCAACCTGATGTTAAGTAGCTCCATTATGTGCCACTGCATTTTAGCATGCTAGCATTTGCCTATTATCCATAAACAAAAAGTAGGCTACAGCCAATGAGATTGTAATTGTTTTAAGATATCAGGTCATAAACAAAATCCAAAGGTAATGGTGCTAGTTGAAATGTTTGGGGATCCTTAAAAATAATGCAGTTCATTCTAAGAAAGTAATATTGTGCACCAATTCAAAGGCAGTGCATCTTGCAGCTGTTGAGGTATTTCAGTCCGTACACAAGTGGTGGACTGGACTGTCCAACTGACATGGAGGACAGCTAACCTCCCTAAAATGTGTTTACAGACTGGAAACATACAACCTGTTGAGCGTCACACATGTTTAGGCTACTTTACAAAAGGCTGAAAGTGTTTTGATCATATTGTCATACCTTTTTTCCTGAGTTCTTTAAAACATTTTTAAATTTCCAAAGTGTGCTTCACATTTTAGGTTTCTTTCAAATTGATCTAAATGTAGTCCCTAAACTGAATATACATTCTATACACAAATGCATACTTTCATAATCAGTTAAACCATGTTAGATATCAAAATACTACTGTAGAAATCTATAGACTAAAAATGACCTCCTGCTGTACTGTTGTGCTTTAATAGTATACAAGGTGTAACTCTCTGCTCCAGACTCCAGGATTACATTATCAGATTTTGCCATGGTAGAAGGTTTGGCATTTTCTGTCAATCACAAAAATGCAATAATGTATGTTTTATGATATTGTGTAAAGATTTCATGTTGTGCCTTTGAATTGCCCCCCAGGGACAAATAAAGTTTTTTGAATTTGAATTTGAATTTGAATGTGGATCTATGTGTTGTTCCGCACCTGAAAGCTGTATGCACCAATGGTTCGGAGGGAGCAAATTTGCATTAACTTACCATGAACTTCCTGTGTCACAGTGTCCTTGGCTAACCCTGAATGGGTCTACTGACAGAGGCAAACCTGCTTTCGTTAAAGATAGCATTATGCTGTACTTGGGGACATAAGGATAGTTTTAGTTGCATCCAAACACAATCCTAACCATTTGAATAAAATATTTTTTTGTATTGGTGGTAGTTTTGCAGCCATAGCAGCCCAACATGTTGTAGTTGTATACTCTCAAGTGTCTAGCTTAAAAGCAGAAGTGTTCTTGGGAAAGAAGTTAATCTGAAAGCATTACTTTGGTCTACTCTAGACAACTGAAGCATACAAAGGCTTGCTGAAATGCAAATCAGCTCAGTTGTAAGTTGTTTATTTGAATTTCCCTCGAGATCAATAAAGTATCTATCTATCTATATCTATCTATCTATCTATCTATCTATCTATCTTGTTATCACTTACTGTATGCTTGTGATTTCTTATCACTGTTTCAGTAATCTTCCTGTTCCATGCGAATTAGTGAAATTACATATTAAACTTGAACTTGATATGCAAGTGATCTTATGCTGTAAACAAGGCATAAATGATACTATTTCACAAAAATGTTTTAGCAATTACATCTGCTGTCTGAACTCTGAAACATTTGAGTTCCACTTTGTCACTCACATTTTGTGGCTGTTTGCTGTCAAACTGGTGTTACTGAATGTTGATTTGAAGCTGTCTAATGTAGGAAGTGGGTTGTGTACACTGTATGGGTGTGTTCAGTCACAGTTCAAACACATTAGTCTGCCAGCGAACATTGAGAGCACTTACTGAGCCGTAGAGGAGAAGACAGGATAGTCAGTGTAATACCGGTACTACTTATTGAGCAGGTGGGCACCACATCACCACCAACAGAGCTTTTTTCTGAAGGACTGCTAAAGTTGTGTTTGCTCTATCATTCTACTCTCAACTGGACTTTGTAACATGTATTGGAACAGTGTGTCGTCGCTCCGGCAAACATGATGTAACTCCCAATGGTCACTGATTGGTCCTGAAGGAGGCATAAACTTTAGTTTCCTGGAGGAGCCTGTGTACTCTGGACCTCACTTGACTGAAATAATGGTGGACAAGATATGGAGGAAGAGTTGGCAATTTATAGAAAATAGACGGTCTTTTCGCAATAAGCGGTCGTCTTGTAGTATGCCTGAAAGTAAGAGTGAGTGAGTAACCTCTTGTTCTTCTTTTTATTTCATTTTTGTGTAAGAGGTAATCCAATGAGGACATTGGATAACCGGTTGTGTCTATAATTGTGAGTGTTTATGCGGCATTTATATCTTCTGAATGTATCTCCAAAAAAAACAATGTTGGATTAATTTGCTGTTGATATTCTTAAAAGAAAAGTGCCAGTTTAAGACAACTTACAGTATAATAATGTGTTTTATATTATCATAAAGCTGTAGAGTCAGCACATTCCAGGTACAGCTTCATTCATTTACACACGCACCGCAGTTCACTGCTGTAATGGCAAACATGTATAATATACCCTCACAGAGACTTGACTTCTCATTTAAGTCTTGTTCATCTCAGAGCATAATTCCTTAAGTCCCTGAAGTTAAGCTATTTTTTGCTTTGACATTCCATGAGATGGATCAGAAGAAAAGCTGCCATTCACCCCATAATACTTCAGTCTAAATCTGACTCAAAAAATTAATTCTTATTGTAAAAGCTGGAAGAAGAAATGTTATAACCATCCCTTTGCTCTTCTTTATGCAGTGTGGAAGGGGATGGACGGCCCAATGACAGTGGGCCTTCCCTGGACAGTGGAGCCGGCTATGGTCCAGGCCCGGTGACTCACGGCTCGGCCATCAGCCCCGACCGATTTGAGAGTCCGCTATACAGCCACGGGGTCCAGCCTGGGCCTCAGAGACCCCGTAGGCCCAAGCTCCAGCACTCGCAGTCCATCCTCCGGAAGCAGGCTGAAGAGGAGGCCATCAAGCGGTCCCGCTCGCTCTCTGAGAGCTATGAGCTCTCTGCAGACCTCCAGGACAAACAGGTACTCCAGAGTGCCTGGCTGAATAGTTTGCAAATGATTTGGATGAAGTTTTCTGACATTCTTGCACGATAAGTGTCACATGCATGTAACTCTTTAAAAATGATGACTTGTTTGGGGGTTACTCATTGAAAAACCAGCAGTGAGAGAGTGTTCTAATTCTAATAAAGAAGGAAGTCTATAATGGGACTGTGACTGACCCTCCAACAACTGGAAGAAGCAAATAAACAGTGAGATTGAAGAGGCTGACTTTATAAACAGTGTACACAAAAGAAAACCATGAAATATTCCAAGGTTGGCACAGTAAATGAATTCTGTCTTCTCTCTAGGTGGAGATGCTGGAGCGTAAATATGGTGGACGGTTCATAACTCGGCATGCAGCTCGCACCATCCAGACGGCCTTCCGCCAGTATCAGATGAACAAAAACTTTGAACGCCTCAGGAGCTCTATGTCTGAGAACCGTATGTCCAGGCGAATCGTTCTGTCCAACATGAGGATGCAGCTCTCGTTTGAGGGCCCTGAGAAAGTGCACAGCTCCTACTTTGAAGGGAGGCAGGTGTCCATGACAGAGGATGGCACCCCGCTGTCTATGGTGCAGTCTGAATGTGGAGATATAGAGGTCCACCAACAGGCCAACATGGCGTCTCACCCGGCCCAACAGGGTGATCTAACAGATGCCATCACGGAGCTGGAGGACGCCTTCTCCAGGCAGGTGAAATCCCTGGCCGAGTCGATAGACGATGCACTGAACTGTCGCAGCCTGCAGGGGGATGAGGGTCCTGACCCAGAGGCTATGGGCTGCTCTCAGGTGGAGAGGGAGGTGCCCTATCAGGTGAAGTCCCACCGCAGGGCAGCTGGACGCATGCACGATGAAACCATGGCGTCCTATAGCGATGTTACTCTATTCATCGATGAGGAGGACATGTCCCCCTCTATGGCCCTGTCGAGGTCAGGGGACCAGCCCTCTAGCACAGAATCAGACTTGAGGTTGCGGTCAGTCAATTCCTCTCAGGAGTACTGGCCTATTGACCCCAAAGATGAGGGCCGTGACACAGACACGAGCTGCCGCAGCACTCCTTCTCTAGAGTGCCAAGAGCAGCGTCTCAGAATGGACCATCTTCCTTTGTTGACCATAGAACCTCCTAGTGACAGCTCTGCAGAGCTCAGCGACCGGTCCGAGCGCAGCTCTGTCAAACGGCCGCCTGGGTATGAACCACATGGCCACATTGTAACATCATCCCAAGCAAGCCCAAAACACATATCCCATGGACCCCCGCCTAGAGCCCCTTCCCGTGATGATGATGCACCTCTGCGGCACCGTCATCGCCAGCTGGAGAGCCACTTAGCCATCAACGGCTCAGCCAACAGACAGAGCAAGTCAGAATCCGACTACTCTGACGGGGACAACGACAGCATCAACAGCACATCCAACTCCAACGACACCATCAACTGCAGCTCCGAGTCGTCCTCCAGGGACAGCCTACGGGAGCAGACGCTCAGCAAGCAGACGTACCACAAAGAGACTCGTAACAGCTGGGACTCGCCCATCTTCAGCAATGACGTTATTCGCAAGAGGCACTACCGCATCGGCCTGAATCTCTTCAACAAGTAGGTACTCAGCTGTGCCGGAGCAGCATCTTGACCAGTGTTTGCTGTGAATAGGTGCCGAGAGAGTAATGGAGGTGATGATTGAGAGGAATCACTCACTAACTGTTTGTTTCTCTGTAAACTCCATTCAGCTACATTCATATGGAATGTAAAGGTATTTTGAGAGTAAGACATATCTTGACTGATAAAGCTGATATGATGCTCCTCAAAAAAAAAATATATATATTTGACAGCACATGAGGTGTGCCTTATGACTCAGAAAAATATATATTAAAACGTTTATCACAAAAATCTGTTTTTTCCATGTAGGAATCTTTGATGCAATATATATGTGACACTGATCATAATGTGATTTGGAATTTAATATAAGTAACAAGTAAACAAAAAAGAAATAATCATAAAAAAGCATCAATATTTACATAGATGCTTTTGTTTATTTGCAAATGCTGATTTGGCAGTTGGAGATTCTCTACCGTTTTTTTTTTTTTCTATAAACCTGCAACTATACGTTTGATTTATCAGGAAGCCAGAGAAAGGCATCCAGTACCTGACCGAGAGGGGATTCATCCCTGACACACCGGTTGGTGTGGCTCACTTCCTGCTGCAGAGGAAGGGACTGAGCAGGCAGATGATCGGAGAGTTTCTCGGAAATCGACAGAAACAGTTCAACAGAGACGTCTTGGAGTAAGTCAGATTTCATTCTCATCATCTCCTCGAAAACCTAAAAAAACATTTTGATACATACAACTTAAGGAAGGATCAAAATGTGCTGAAAACCCAGGACCCCTGTCCACCTGCAAAATAACAAAGAAAGATTGTATACATCAAATTATCCGGGACATTGATTTATCAAGTTTAATCAAATAAAATGAGAAACATTTGACAGCGGCACAGATGTAACCAGATATCTCTTGTAACATCCCCTTTCAGAAAACACTGAGACATTTAAGGCCCTGGACAAATCGATGAGCATCGCATGATGAGCACAAAAACAACAACAATCTCATATCTGGTTTTAATTTGTCTGTCTCCATCTGTCCCTTTTTTCCATCAGCTGCGTGGTTGATGAAATGGACTTCCAGAGCATGGAGCTTGACGAGGCTCTCAGGAAATTTCAGAACCACATCCGTGTTCAGGGTGAGGCCCAGAAGGTGGAGCGACTTATTGAAGCCTTCAGGTTAGATGACACACTAAAACAGACCCCATATTTGAACTGAGAAAACCTGAGGGGAAAAGCCCCTCTTAGCTACAGATTATGGATGCATGTGTTTGAGGAACGAAAGGAGAGAAAACATAAATGTGTCCATGAATTACAATGTCTGAGTGCTTTGGAAGAGAGAGATTGAAGACCATGAAGCTGTGAGGAAAAATATGTCGAATGTAGAAATCATTGAAGCACACATATTCAGTTTTTGAGCCATAATACAAAAAGTACTTGATGTAAGATTTCAGTGAATATTGAGAAGTCCTTTCTGCTTGGTTTCCTCACAGCTGCGTTATCTAGATAAGTCTTGGCACACAAAGAGAGCAGGTTCCTGCATTAGTTCTGCTTTCTACTGAAAATGCTGAAAATGTTTCAACAGCCTGAGCACATTTTTCTTTTTTTTTTGTGTGTTTTGTAATCAAGGTTTGGTTGTTGGATCTTATTGTTCTCCTGTACTTGTTTCTAGCCAGCGCTACTGCATCTGTAACCCCACAGTGGTGCGGCAGTTCAGGAACCCTGACACAATCTTCATCCTGGCGTTTGCCATCATCCTCCTGAACACCGACATGTACAGCCCCAACGTCAAGCCAGAGAGGAAGATGAAGCTGGAGGATTTCATCAAAAATTTAAGAGGTAACTGAAGTGATAATGCAAGGACCTACAAACTGATTTTTCTGACTAACATTTAAAAAGTGCCACAGGGTTAATACAGCCATGGACACAGATAAAAGTCTAAATTAGGTTATTTCAATAGGACAAACAATATCAGATGAACACTACAGATTAACGTAACTAACTTCGGCTCCTCCATGTTTTCAAGGTGTGGATGATGGGGAGGATATTCCCAGGGAGACTCTGGTCGGCATCTATGAGAGGATCCGTAAACGCGAGCTTAAGACCAATGAAGACCATGTCTCACAGGTGCAGAAGGTTGAGAAGCTCATCGTGGGGAAGAAGCCGGTGAGTAATGTTCATTATCTCATCATCATGATACTAAGTTCATTTAAACATAACAGAATTAAAAGCATAACTTTAACTTCATCTTTGGCCTTTGAGATACAAGTATTGTATCTTTAACAACAATGTGTTGTTCTGTGATAAATAAGGCTCGACCCACACAGGAATTTTCAGACGGATACTGTTTTCAATAGAGAGGAATTATTAATACGATATAACGCCTTCTAATTTGAATTTTTGATACAACTGGATAGTACAATGTGACCCTGCAAGAGTACAGAGAGCTGTCAACTTACACATATAGCCACTTTTAAGGGTCTTAAACAATCATTTCCACCATCATTCAATTCTAGTGTGGACCGTCTCCTGCTCAGCTGTGATATTTTGCTGCACTTGCTGCAGACAGTGCTGAGGTATTGTGCAAGGAATAGAAATGTGTAAAAAAAAAGTTTTCCTTTTAAGCACATATCCAGATATATACGATATATCTGTGATAAACCTGTATGGACCCGACATTTCTGGCCAACAAACACATCAGTGAGACGCTTATAGTATCTCTCCAGAACTACTTTTGATAAATAAAAATGTGGTTTTCTTTTGATTGATAAAGGTGAAAATATACAGAGTTTAAGTCGGACCAGGAAAACTTAACAAAACCGTATGTCCTTTTCCACTGATGGGTGTTGTTGTGTGAAACTGGGTTCGTTCCTGAGTTTAGACCTTCACGCTGGTGATTTTAACACACTGGGAAGCCCTTAAGAGATGTCAGCCAGTGCAGCATTCTGATGAAAAACGGATCCCCCGTGTGACTTTTTGTCCTCTCTTAGTTTTAGAGGGAGAAGTAGTTGACTCCAGTGTGTAACATGTTGGTAATTAAGTTACATTTGAAGTGTCAGTTGATGCACAATCAGTAGGAAGTTTATTTCTGCTGATGATTTTTTGATCAAGAGCTGTGATCACACCATGCTCCAGGCCCTCATCATGAGCAGCATTTCAGCATTATTCTGCTGGCAATGATGTCTCTCTCATGTGTGAAGGTTAAAAGAGTGATTAACCTATGCTGCCGCAGGGAGAGAGAGGGCTTTGTTTCAGTTGGTTTCCAGTGGGATGGATGAGTTTCTTTCCCAGTGATCAGTTAATGTATTGAAAAAAGCTCCCTGGTCACCATTTAGCTGCAGAATTAAAAGCCCAGTTGGACACGTGGAACAAAAACACTTTAGCATAAAAACCACATTGAAGTTCCTCATCCTAATAATCTGGTCCACTTGTGCTGTTATGGAGTGGGTTTCTAGGGGAGGCTCTGTTTTCATTCCAACATCATTAGAGAATCCCCGGAGTCCAGCACAGAGAAAGACCACTACCCTTTACTCAGAGGTGCATGTGGCCGCTTAATCAGCTAAAGCTTCAGAGTCTTCAAGGGCAAATCCTTCTCTAGACTCATTAATAAGGAGAAGACATTTCATTTTCATGATATCAAAGCGGTGGCGTAAATAATGATTACATAAAAACGACATTAAACATCTTTTTTGTCCTTCTTTTCTTAGATTGGATCCCTCCACCATGGCCTGGGATGTGTAAGTATGACAAAAAAAACCAAAACATAAATCCCACTTTATTTGGTCATTTGTCGTTAATTCACCTCTGCGTGCACAGCTTCCTGTCTTTAGCTGTTCATGTACATCAGTCAAGATAAGTTTAAGAGTTTTTAGATTACCTAAAGACGGAGGAACTTTTGCCCCCTGAAGCATCACATCTGTTACTGAGAGATGAGCGGTCTTAGCTCTACCCTGGAAACCGAATCAACACCCATAAATCCTTGGGTTGGCATTGAGCTGCAGTGTTTACAGATTCTGCCCTCAGCGGGGTGTACATCATGCGTGTGCCTCCCAGAAACACAATACATCATAGTTGTGTGGATATTATTACTTCTCACACTGTGATGGGAGGAGCTTTGCACTGATTTTGCATTAGTGATAAATGTATGCAATATGTTATATAATAGCACCAGTGCCTTAAGAAAATAATGATTTTAGACTTACTTTTCTTCTTGATTTAGCGTCAGAATTCAACTTATCAGTTTTGCAAGACGAGGAACTATTTAGTGCACGGTGTGTGTTGTATTTTTCTTTGGATGTGCGACCACATCTGCAGCATTTACAATTCTCTCTTCACTCTGATTATTTGTGCAATGTGTGCACGAGAGTTTCTTTTTTCCTTTTCTTTTCTTTGTTTCTTTGCTGATGTTCAACGCTGAAAATGACCTGTTGTGGGAACAATAGAGGTTTATATTCTATTTTCTTTGAAGCCTACAACAGCACATTAGGGAGCCTAAATAAAATGAAAGTAACAATCGCAACAACTTTTTTTGCTTAATACTGCATTACAAGTTAACATTTACTCATTGGTGAAACTGACTTAAAGGGTGTTAAAATGGCTACAATCATCATTATTTATTTTATAGTTCATCTGGAGACTTAATAAATATATGTGAATTTAACTCAAATGGGACACAGTGAATGATTCAACAGATGTGAAGCTGAAATTACACATTTATTAAGTAGATCATTTTTAGATGAACAAAACGGAATAGCTCAAATCATTTTTTAATCTGAAGTTCTAAACAGTCTCTGAGTACAGCCTTAAATGTCTTACACGTTTTTGAATCTGCAGCTTTTCTTTGTCTTTGTCTTGTTGAACATTTAACTTTTTTTTTAAATCATCAACTTGATCCGTAAAAACATTTGACGAGCATTTTCTAACAGTTTAAAAAAAAAAGAAGTCAAATCAAGTAGTCAAAAGATTCAACAGTGATGGGTGTGTTGTTAGTTGCAGCCATAAATAGTAGTGTTCATATCTCCCCACACATAGCTATGAAGATATAAAGCAGCAATCGATGCAGAAACTTTTGAACTGTAAAGAACAGTCTTCCTTTTTATTATGACGTCTTGAAATTCTTCTCAGAAGAAGACGAGACTGGGGCTGAAGTTGACCTATGATGCGTTTGTATCTTTGCTCTGTCTTCCCGTTTGTAGGTTCTGTCGCTTCCTCATCGTCGACTGGTGTGTTACTGCCGTCTGTTTGAAGTTCCCGATCCCAACAAGCTCCAGAAGCTGGGCCTGCATCAGCGGGAGATCTTCCTCTTCAATGACCTCCTAGTGGTAAAAAAAAAAAAACCTCTCCTTTTTGCTCTCCCATCCTCTCCCCATGTCTTTGTTTTTTAAAGTACAACCTTTTAAATATTCTCTTTGCATGATTTCAGGTAACCAAGATTTTCCAGAAAAAGAAGAACTCTGTGACGTACAGTTTCAGACAGTCTTTTTCACTTTACGGGATGCAAGTCATGCTGTTTGAAAACCAGTGTAAGTGGCATTTCCTTTTATTTTTCATCACTTTGCCGTGTTCCCTGACAGTGTTTACATCACACAGTTTGATTTAGCACAACAAAAATAAGAAGTCCGACTAATGGCCTGTGACATTGTTTATAGTCCAAACTTCACACAGATCGCTCCAATACCTTTCTACTTGGATTTGATCAATGGTCCCTTGCGTAAATGTCTGTCCCTCTCTGTTTGCCATTTCCCCCAGATTACCCGAATGGAATCCGACTAACATCAGCCATACCAGGTGCGGACATCAAAGTCCTCATCAACTTTAATGCGCCCAACCCCCAAGACCGCAAGAAGTTCACAGATGACCTGCGAGAGTCCATTGCCGAGGTCCAGGAAATGGAGAAATACAGAATAGAGTGTGAGCTGCCTGTTTTTCCCCTCTCCCTTCCCCCCTTCTTACTCTGTCTACCTCAGGCTGTGTAAAGTGGAAACAGGGCATGGTCCTCATTACTCAACTGCGGCAATTTACGAGGAAGACTTTTTATAGAGTTCACAGAATGACTAACAGAAAAGAGCTTTTTTTTTTTTTTTGGGACATTCAAAAGGCTGTTACCTTATGAAAAACAGGAAGTTTGACATTATGTAGATCAATAGTGGACTTTCCTGAGTTTCAAACAGTGAAACATGTCTGAATAGAGTCAAAAACAAGTTCTAAAGTCCCAGCCTGGCCCAGAGTGTGATGTCAAACCACTGCCACTTACCTCAGTCTTTCCTTGGCTCCTCTCCACAGCTGAGCTGGAGAAGCAGAAGGGTGTGGTGAGGCCCAGCATGTCGCAGAGCTCCGGCCTGAAGAAGGAGGCTGGCAACGGGAGCATGAACCGCGCCAGTCTGGACGACACCTACGCCATGGGAGAGGGCCTGAAGAGGAGCGCGCTCAGTAGCTCCCTGAGAGACCTCTCAGAAGCAGGTACACCCGAGAAATCTTGTTCTGTTTTTTTTTTTTTTTTTTTTTTAACCAGCCAGGTGTTGAAAGGAGAAGTAAACTCCTTCTGTCATCTCTGTGATGATATCAAGGGGATAAAAATAGCAAAATGTTGTTTCACTGCACCATACTTTGTTTTTTTGTTTTTTTTAAGTCCTCCTCTTTAAATGCACTACTCAAGTCACTCATTCGATAGTTTGGTCTGGACAGTTTAACTTTGTCTGTTTAACTTTGTAAGACTCAGCGTACTTTGTTTGTTTTAGAGGGATTTTTTCAGTACATAGACTGAATACAGACCCATTTGAGAAAAAAGGTTAATTGTTTAGAAAAGATGTTCTCTCAGTGGTGAATGAAATTGACGGGCAGTTCTCATCCCCGACCATTTGGATGACTTTTATTTCTCAGCGTTTCCATTCACGGTTTTATCGTCACTTCTTTTTTTGATTTCACACTTCTGCACTTTCACAGTTGGTTTGATCCAAGAGCATTTCATGATAATCTTCTGTTCTTTTCGATTCAAACACCATGTACCATTTCCTCTCATGTGTACCTGTGGACCAAACAAATCCGAGCTGGTTTGTAAGCAGCAACAAGAGCGAGACTAAACCCTGGAGTTAACAGTCATTCATTTCATGTCCCTGAATATCAGTGTTCAAACGAGCCGCTGTGTCTCTGAAACAGAAAATGCATTTCATTCATTCCAGATAACAACCGTGTGAAGTCATTGGGACATTAACTTTATAACAAACTGAAGTCCAGTCAGGGGTCTGCCTCAAGTTTGGTAATATGATCCGCTTTGATAGGTCAGTCAGTGAAGAAATCCCTCCTGTCTGTGTGTTTTGTTTTTTTGATGCAGGATGCGGCATGTTAGCGGGGCCATTTTTGTTGAGTGTTTTCTTTTTTCTTTCTCCTGCCATACTCCATTCCATGTGTATTTACTGTGTTATTTCCATACACATCAGGTATTTTCCTGTATATGTGTGAATATTGGTCATGTATCATTGGCTGAGTGTGAGCCTAACAATGGCAAGAGTGCTCTGTTCGCCCTCAAACCTGTATATGCCTGTACATCCCATGTGCAACAACCACTGTAATGCTTTTGATGTGTCTCCTCCTTTGTGACTGTCACTGAGACTGGCTTTATGCCACCATAGGACCCTCTGAAAATCTGCATCTTGTGACAACATTATGAACGAGTTGTCATATTTTAACGAGGCCAAAAACCTAAGAAAAGTTAGTTTAAGCATTAAAAGTATAAAAAAAAAGTCAGCAAGCTTCTAGTTAAACGTCTTTCAATCAGACTTGATGCTTAAGGAGTTCTCATCTTAAATTTAAGGATCAGAATTATTAACCCTAAACCTCTAGTTTGAAGTGCGTTTCAAAACCTTTTTATCACATAATGAAAGTTTAATGCAGCTGTAGCAGATTAAAAGGAAGATATATTTTTGCTAAACAGCCACAGTAAACCTGTCACCCACCTCCCTCCCAGCCCCTGACCGCGTTCTCTCCCCCTCCTCCCGCC